AATATACAATCGCAGCCCTGGGAGGGCAAAGCGAAAAAGAAACACAAAACATATGAGTCTGCGGGGGGGATGGCGGGTGAGGGATTTCCGGGCAGATTATAGGGGGAATTCCCTCGGCTAATTCTCGCTGAATTTTGTGGCCTTGGGGGATGACTGGTGAGAGTACAAACACGGAGAAATGCTAAGAATTTTTTCCAGATTTTCCTAAGGGTTTTTTCGCATAAAAAGACAAATCTGGCTGCCGCACTCCTTTAAAAGTGCAAAAACAGAAACTGATCTCACCTTGGGTTTTGGTAAAGCAAAGCTGCTGTCACGTACCTTTAAACAGGTTAAAGCGGGGTAAAAGGCATAAAAAATCCCGAAATCTAGCCGCCCTAGTGAGTCCACACCTCAACCCCATCCTAGTCAGTCCACTTTTTCGGGGGGCTTGTCACCTGGCAACGTGCCCTCTGGGCATTTGACGAGCCGGCGGGGAGGATTTTCTAGGTGTAATTAGAGCGGTCTTGACAGGATTATTGAAGGGATTAGAAGCTTTCCTAAAGAATCTTGGCTAGCCTGCCCTTCCCAAAAGAAGAATCTCTGCTAGCCTGCCCTTTCCCAAAGAATTCTCTGCTAGCCTGCCGTTTCCTAGATAAACTCTGCTAGCCTGCCCATTCTTAACCCACTGTTCCGAAAAGCCGGTACTAGACAAAACGCACCGGAACCGAGAATTTTTGAACCCGCAAAACGAGGGCAAACGGTCATAAAAAAGGGCAATCCCCGGGTAATAGTCATGGCGTGGGGTCCGATTGTTTCCGTGTTCAACTCTGGCAGGTGTTCCCCAGATTTTCATTGCTTCAATTGGTGATTTCGGGGTTTTGCAATATAAAATTCATCGCAAGCTAGCAGAGATTCTTTAGGAAAGGGCGGGCTGGCAGAGATTGACATTCTTTAGTCTAGTTCGGCGGCTAAATTTCCGCGCCCCTCAACCCAGAAAATTGATTCGATTGTTTCGCGGGCTGGGGGGATATCCCCCCAGCCATTCCCAAGACTAGTCGCCGTTTTGGTCTGTTATTAGCGCCCTCGAAGCCATAAGCCAACCATAAATAGCCATGAAAAATTACTGCCGCTGCGGGAAACCAGAAACTCTAGTTTTATTTATGGGGGAGTAGGAAAATTATGATCTGTTCTGACTTTTTGGCTTCTCTCTCTCTCGCTCTCTTTCCTTCCCTCTCTCTTTCTCCTTTCTCTCTCCCTCTCTCTTTCTCGCTGCTCTCTCTCTCCCCCTCTCTCTCCCTCTCCTCCCTCTCTCTCTCTCTCTCTCTCTCTCTCTCCCACTCTCTCTCTCTCTCTCGCCCCCCCCCTCTCTCTTTCTCTCCGCCCTCATCCCCCCAAAACGAAAAAGGTGCCAAGAAAATACACCTACAAATTCCACTTTGTAGCTGAATCGAAACCACCATATTCGTGTGTCGTTTTCAGCCGATTTTCCCCAGTAGTTTTGTGCCCAAAATACAATCGCAAACAGACTACGCGCGCAGTGTCGAGGGCCGAAATCGCCACGTAAAAAAAAGTTCGTACGCCATTCATAAAATACCATACAATAAACCGGGCGGCGGGGGCGAGCTCAGGCGGGTGTTCGGGGTCAAAGAGGAGTGATGTCATGGGCACAAAATACTCTGACGATATGAAACCTGGCAGGGGTCGGCTAGGATTCTTTAGGAAAGGGCAGGTTAGCAGAAATTCTTAAGAAAAATGGGAGGGCTAGCAGAGATTCTTTAGGGAAAGAGCAGACTGGCAGAGTCCTTCGGAGAAAAGATGACTAGCAGAGATTCTTTGGGAATCTGGGAATCAGGAATCAAAGAAAAGCGAATGCCGGAATTAGTGGCCCGTGGCCAGCGGCGTGCACGCTACAAAGCCCGGGCGCAAATACGCCATGTCGGAAAATGATCGACGAGAAACGTCGACCTAAGGAAGAGGCTGGCACACTCCCTTTAAAAAGTCCCAGCCGAGGGTGCGAACTGCATGAAGTTGCTGACGGCTAAAAAGACACCGGAGCCCCATAACCAGGGTTTATGCACATCATTCTTGCAGTTTTGAGGAGCGAGAGGGATAGAGAGAGAGTGAGAGAGAGGGGAGAGAATTAGAGAAACAAAGAAACACAGCCACCATTCCATCTTCAAAATGGAGAGCCTGCGGGCGGCTGGGATCACTTTTCCAGCGGGACAACTGTTGGCCGGAAGCCGCAAAGTCAACCCTGAAAAAGGGTAGAGAGAGAGAGAGAGAGAGAGAGAGAGAGGGAGGGAGAGGGAGGTGCTTTAGGTGCCAGTAAGTTGACAAATGGCCCGGGGCCAGGGACAAAGTGAACGACATGAACGCTAAACGACCGAGGGATGGGGGCATGAAACCGGGTAAGCAAGCAGAGATCGTTTAGGAAAGGGCAGGCTAGTAAAGCTTCTTTAGGAAGCGCAAGAGCCAGGCGAAACCTAATTGTTGGTACAGCCGTGGATCCTAGCACGAAAATGATGTGTAAGGGTGCGAAATTTGAGGCCGCGCAAGATGGACGAGCGGGGCTAGGGTGTTAAACTGCTTTAGGAGCCAGATGTGTATCCTGGGTGGGATTGGGCTTAGGCTTCGGTTGGGCCTAAACCTGGCTTATACTTGGGCTTAGGCTTAGGCTTGGGCTTAGGCTTAGGCTTGGGCTTAGCTTAGGCTTAGCTTGAGGCTTGAGCTTAGGCTTAGGCTTAGGCTTAGGCAGGCTTAGGCTTAGGCTTAGCAGGCTTGGACAGGCTTAGGCTTGGGCCAGGCTTAGGCTTGGGCTTGAGCTAGGCTTAGGCTTAGGCTTAGGCTTGGGCTTAGTCTAGCCAATCTTGACGACCCTCTAAAGGAAAAAAATACCGAAAAATTTGAAGCTCGTCTCGACGGCATCGTCGTCGAGGTGGAGGACCGTGTCGGCGTCGTGGCCGATCGAGGACGCTGCTACCTGAAAATCTTCCTGAAAGAAAATTCGTGGAGAGTAATAAATTGCAACTTAGACGTTGGTAGACGTACCACTCCTCTGTACGGGTCGAGGTGACAGCAGGGAGGGGCTCCGGATACGGTAGGTGCACTCGGTGCTGACCTAAGAAAGAGGAATATCAAAATTAGTGCTGGATCAAGAGAGAGAGAGAGAGAGAGAGAGAGAGAGAGAGAGAGAGAGAGAGAGAGAGAGAGAGGGGAGAGAGGGAGAGGGAGAGAGAGAGAGAGAGAGAGAGAGAGAGAGAGAGGGAGAGAGAGAGAGAGAGAGAGAGAGAGAGAGAGAGAGAGAGAGGAGGGATCGCTCACCTCGGCATCGCCCAGCAAGGCGATCAGCTCTGAATTCATATCGTCATTCCTCTCTGAAACAAGTTGATGTAAAATTATTCGGCCAAAGGGACGCAGAAAGGGAAAAATCATGCTAGCCGTCCATTTCCCAAACAATCTCTGCTAGCCTGCCCTTTCCTAAAGAATCTCTGCTAGCCTCCCACCTGAAAATGATGTTCCAAAACGCCACCGAGTCTCTGACCTCGATTTGAGTATCTAATCCGTTTCGGCGGATCGGCCAGGGCATGGGGGCATTTTGTGTAAATTGAGAAGACAAACGCAAATAGTGTTTGTGCCGCTTCTCGGCAGCACTCAACTTTTTCCCCGTGTCCCCTGGTTGCCCTTTCCTAAAGAATCTCTGCTAGCATGCCCTTTTCTAAGAAAACTCTGCTGGCTAGCCGGCTTCAAAATCAATTCTAGACTTTAGAAAAAATGAAAAAGTTGCTACTACTAGTGGTGCGCGAAAGGAACGGTATCGGAATGCGATCTATTTGCTTAGGGTCGGGTCGGGGGTTTCTTTTTCGTTTGAGTGTGGTTAAAGTGATGGTCTTCGCTAGGTTGGTAGCATCTCTCCCCGTCTCTCTCGCTCTCTCTCTCTCTCTCTCTCTCTCTCTCTCTCTATCTTTTGCTCTGGCCTCTTTCTTTTTCTGTCTCGCTCTCTATCTCTCTCACTGTCTCCTTCTCGCTCTCTCTCGCTCTACCTCGCTCTCTTGCTCTCTCTCATTTCTGCCTCTCTGTCTCGCTCTCTCTTGTTCCCCTCTATTTCTCCTTCACTCTCTCTCTCTCTCACTCTGTGATTATTCAAATTTTTGCGTACTCAGTTTTATTTAAGAAAAATCCATTTATTTTAGTTTTGACAATTATAACCACAAATTCTATATTTTTACTTGTGTAAATCATATACACAATGATGAATTATGCCCCGAATCACACAAAAAGCCAAAAAAAAAAAACGGGAGAGGGACCGGAATGCAAACACACGTAGCGGGGGTGGAACACCACGGGGGAATGGGGTGGAAATGCACCTTGAAAACATCAAAAAATCTAAACAAGGTTCGAAAAGCGTACGGGCCCGTAGTGGAGCGGAATTTTTAGGAAAAATTAATTTAAAAATGGTTTAAACTATTAAAAAGGATTGAAAAACTGAAAATTCAAATTTTGAGAAGAAGGTGAAAAAGAACCGTTGATTTCAATCCCTTTAAATTTTAAGCTACTGTATTGTTGAAAATTGTGCTTTCAAAACCCGCAAATCGGAATTACAGTAACGACAGTACTACAAAAAAGGAAAAAAATCTACATTTTAAAGGGCTGGTAAAGCTCGGCGGATTTATGCTAAAAAGTGAGGAAGAAATTAATCTTTTTTTGCAAAATTTCGGGAATATTTTGAAGCAAAGACTACAGTAAGACGCTCCGGCTACCGTAGTCCGCCCTCTAGTCAACGGTGCGGTGTCGGAAAACGGATGGTTGATTCGGAGGGCGATCCGGGGACTTTGTGAGGCTTTCGTCGGAATCGAGATGGGTAACGACGTGGATTCCCTAAAAATAAAGAACTAGGCGTTTCCTAAAGAATTTCCGCTAGCCTGCCCTTTCCTGCAGAATCTCTGCTAGCCTGCCCTTTCCTCAAGAATCTCTGCTAGCCTGCCGCTCCTAAAAATCTCTGCTAGTCTGCCCATTCCCAAAGAAACTTTTCTAGCCTGCCCTTTCCTCAAGAATCTCTGCTAGTCTGCCCTTTCCTAAAGAATCTCTGCTAGCCTGCCCTTTCCCAAAGAATCTCTGCTAGCTTCCCAATCCCTCAAAATACCTCATTCTCATCGCTGCTCCGCGAGATTCCCTTTTTACGATGCCTCGAGGTGTGCGGAAGATCCATCTCGCTGTCCCGATCGCGCTCCAGCTCCGTCAGCTCGCAGTCCGCCATGACGCCATTGTTTTCGAGCTGCAAATTTGCGCCTAGCAAGACTTTAAAGGCGCAGTGAAAGAGGTACGAATTTTCCTAAAGAGTCTCTGCTAGCCTGTCGCTTTCCAAAGAATCTCTGCTAGCCTGCCCTTTCCATACCTCAGTCATAGAGCCGGGGTGATGCGATGAGGACAGCTTTGGCCGTCTCGGGAGTTGGACCTGCGGGATGCTCAGCTGGCTATCGTCGAAGGAGTGTTTCGTCTCGTCTTCTTCGGTGATGGCTCCGCCTGTCATCTGGAAAAGAATTTTTAATGGAATTTTCCAAGGGCCCGGGAAGGCGGAGAGAGCGAGAGGGACCGAGAGAGAGAGAGAAAGAATTTTTCCGTCTTAAAGGGACTATGACATCAAATTTACCTCATCGTCGCTGTCCCGCTTCCTCAAGTCGGCGGCCAGGCTGATCGAGTCGGTGATGGTGGTGTATTCGTCGTGATGGCGCCGCCGGAACGACATGCTAAAACTGAGGATTAGCGAGAGAGATAGAGAGAGAGAGAGAGAGAGAGAGAGAGAGAGAAAGTGAGTGAGTGAGAGAGAAAACCCAAAAACCAACCTGATCGTGTCCCTCCTCGGCAGGTTCGAGCTGTTCACGTTGAAGAGCGGCTGGGTGGGCCCCAGGTTCGAGAGAGAGCCGACTTTAAAGGGATCGTGAAGTGCCGGGGAGAGGAGACCAGAATCTGCATCGATGTTGAGGGATGGTCCTGGAATCAGAAGCGTTTTAAAGGGACTGGGACAGCCCTAGCCGAAGCCTAAGCCTAAACGATCCAACAATTCGACTAAGCACCAACCCGAGTACGTCGTAGTCCTCTTCCTCGCCCTCGTGCTCCCCTCGCGTTCGAGCAGGAGCGGATGCGTGGTCGTACTTTGTACACCGGCCGACTGGGGGGCCTCATCTTGGGTGATGCTCTCCTTGAGCCCGGGGATGATGAAGGAATGGGCGGGTGATAGGCCAGCGGCACGTTGGCCGCCCTGCAGGGCCTGGATGATGACCAACGGCAGCGAGGTGGTCAGCTGGCGGATCATGTCCTTGAGTTCGCCCTGGAGAGAGGGAATTAAAGGAAGAGAGAGAGAGAGAGAGAGAGAGAGAGAGAGGGAGAGAGAGACAGAGGGAGAGAGGGTTAGAGAGTGGGGGGAAGACAGAGAGGGATAAAGAGCGAGACGGAGAGAGAGAAAGCTATAGAGAGAGAAACAGAGAGAGATAGAGAGAAACAGAGAGAGATAGAGAGAAACAGAGAGAGAGAAGAGAGAGAGAGAGCGAGAGAAAAACCGAAAACCTACAATCTCCCCCTCCATCATCTCCACCCGCGCCTCCATCCCTCTCATATCTTCTCGATGCACCTGGTCCTTCGCCGCCATGTCGTTAATCCTGGCGAGCATCAGATCGGTCCTAAAAATCACGTAAAAAATCGAAATGGCGCCGACGACTTCGGCAAGTTCAGCCGGCTCAACCTTACCTCTCAGACGTCCTAAAAATCAGCCGATCGTTGCTGCTGTTCCGCGCGTGATCTTTCAGCCGGCCCAGCTCCTCCATGCAGTCCTCCTCGAAGTCGTGCAGTTTTTCGACCTGAAAAATTAGATTGGTGGTGTAGAAATTTGCAAAGAATCACCGCCAGCTTACCTTTTCCTAAAGAATCTCCCTTAGCCCGCCATTTTCTAAAGAATCTCTGCCAGCCTGCCCTCACCTGATCAGCCTTCAAAAACAGCTTGAGCGAGAAGTCGAAGACGTCCTTCTCGTCATCCACCGACGACGGGAGATTCCGCCTCTTCCGGCACCACCTCCACCTCACATATTTGAGCAGCATCCACAGGTGCCAGAAGAAGGTGAGCGGCGGCGGGAAGAAGGGCGTCGACTCGTACTCCATCACCTGCAAGGTTATGGGATTTGAAGCCTAAGCCTAAGCTTAAGGCTAAGCCGAAGCCGAAGCCGAAGCAAAGCCTCAGCCAAGCCAAGCCAAGCCTAATCCTAAGACCACAAACCTGTCTGTAGCGCTGGAAGAGCCAGATCTGCTGCGAGAACTCCTCGGTTTGGTCGAAAATGTGACTAAAAAGGAACTTTTAGAAAATTTAGCACTTCAATAATTTTTTGGGGCATCAGATTTTGTAGGGTGAAAAATTCTACATCAAAAATTGTTTTTAAAAAATTCAAAACGGTTACGGTAGGCGGAAAAATCGAGCGCAAGCGAATTGAAATCGCTTGAGCCGAATTTTTTACCATCAGGTCGATTCAAAAAGTGTTTTTTCAAGGCAGGGTCGTGCTCAGAATTTGCCACGTACTTGAACGTGGCGATCAGCATGCTCATCAACAGCACGTTGGCGATGAGGAGGAAGAAGGTCATGATGATGGGCGGGATCCAGTGGCCGGGGACGCAGTTCGACGTGTTGTTGCCGGTGTACTGCCACAGGGAGGTGCCGTCTTCGAGGTGTTGATCCCAGGCTGGAAAAGGGGAAGGTTACGGTAGAAGAGAGAGACAAAGAGACAGAGAAAAAAAAAAAAAAAAAAAAAAAAAAAAAAAAAAAAAAAGAGAGAGAGAGAGGAGAGAGAGAGAGAGAGAGAGAGAGCGAGTAAATGACCGAAACCCACCATCATCTCCGCACTGGTCAATCTCATCAGCGTACACCTCTCCGTACAGCATGAAGTACGGCTTGTAGAAGATGTTCCTAAAAATAGCGTATTTCGAAAGGACTAGGACCTAAAATGACTTTCACAAAAGTCTGACTCGTTACCTCAACAACAGCGGGTGCCACTCCTCATTTGGGTAGGTGATCGATTGACGAGCCAGTCCAAAGGCCAGCAGGGAGACGCACAACATCACGATCACGTACACCATGCTTTGGATCTGGAGTGAATTGGTTTACAATTGAATCCGTGACGCACCATTCTGCCAGCCATCGTGATGTAGGGACCGAGCTTCGGGTGAACGCTCATGTAATCGAGCAGCTTCATCACCCATAGCACCGCATTGCAAGCCAAAATAACGCGGCCCCAGGGTCTAAAAGGGGAGGCTAGCAGAGATTCTTTAGGAAAAGACAACTAGCAAAGAATCTTTAGGAAATTTAGGTTCGAGCTTACCCTCCAGCCGTCCGTAGCGCGAAGCCGATGACGTAGGTGAACAATGCGGCCGTCGTTACCGTATTCCAGTAGCTGGCGAAGAAGTACTTGCACTTTTGCGTGAACGGCTCGATGTCCATCATGATGAACTGGAAAAAGTAGATGACGATCACGCTTGAGCTTAGGCTTAGGCCCAGGCTTAGGCTTAGGTTTAGGCCTAGGTTAGGCTTAGGCTTAGGCTTAGGCTTAGTTACCTACCTTCCTGGTGTGCTCCATACCGAACGACACGACGTAGGCGGTCAGTAGCCACTCGAGCCAGGTGGGTTTTGGCGGCGTTCTGAAGGAAATAGTTAGACAGTGTAGAGAAGAGAGAGAGAGAGAGAGAGAGAGAGAGAGAGCCGCATAGACAACCCACTTGATCAGCAACACATAGGTGAGCGCGGCGAGGAAGAAGCAGAACGCGATGGCCCACGACCAGAAGGTGGTGATCGGTGCCGCGTAGAATTCGTAGAGACGGCGTCGGAATTTGATTTTGCGCTAGAAAAGAGGGATGAACCATGATTTTGAAGCCCACCATTTTCTGTACGCCCCTGACCATCCACGGCTTACGGCCGGTGGCTCCCTCGCTGGTTTCCACCGGTTTTGGCTTGCGTTTCTTGGGTTCTTCTGGAAATTGGAAAAGGTTAGATGACTTAGGCTTAGGCTTAGGCTTAGGCTTAGGCTTAGGCTTAGGCTTAGGCTTAGGCTTAGGCTTAGGCTTAGGCTTAGGCTTAGGCTTAGGCTTAGGCTTAGGCTTAGGCTTAGCGTAGACTTAGCTTGATTCAAACTCACCGCTTCCCCACCAGTTCCACCAACTCTTCTCCGGGCTTCGGTCCTTCACTTCCGGTTGGGCGCTGACTGGAATAAAAAGATTTTAAAGTACCCGCCAGCTGTCGCGCTCTCTCTCTCCCTCTCTCTGTCTCTCTCTCGCTCTTTCTCTCTCGCTCTTTTTCTCTTTCTCTCTCTGTCTCGCTCTCTCTCTCTCTCTCTCTCTCTTTATCTCTCTCTCTCTCTCTCTCTCTCTCTCTCTCTCTCTCTCTCTCTCTCTCTCTCTTCTCTCTTTCTCTCTCTCTCTCTCTCTCTCTCTCTCTCTCTCTCTCTCTCTCTACATACCAGACTTCATCTCATATCTCCCATTCGCCATCCCGGCCTCAATCGACGCCACCGGATCGTCTCGCTCCTTCACCACCCGCGACGGCTTCTTCTTGTGGTTTCGGTGGAACAGCTGAAAAATAGCAAGTTCTCTGGGTACGGTAGGTGCAATAAAATACCGGAGAGACCGAGTATTCAAAAAAACGACAAAACTCACGCTGCCCAACCCGACCGTATTTATCGACTGCATGCTGCTGTGCGCTGTTCGTTTATGGTGCGGTAAATGGGGCTGAAAATCGCTGTGAATTTTTTAATATTATTTTCCACTACTTTCTTTTATTGAATTTCGCTGGCCATTCAAAAATAAACTTTATCTAAAATTCCTTGTGTCCACGTCCCTTTAAAGTCTCGTTAAATTGGAACTCTCTCTTTAAACCGCTGTGGCACATTGAAAATTACCATGTCATCCTCGCTGTCGGTGTTTTCCGAGCCGCTGGACGAGTCTTCGGAGGATGAGGATGAGCTGGACGACAAGGTGTCGTTCATGTCGTGCTAAAAGTGGGAATAAAAATCATGTTCTTTTCCTCTCGTGACTTGACTCTCCGCCTCTCTCTCTCTCTCTCTCTCTCTCTCTCTCTCTCTCTCCTTCTCTCTATCTCTCTCTCGCTCTTTTTCTTTGCATAGCTCTCACCTCATGTTCAGCGGCCGTCTGGGGTTGGAGCAGCAGCTCTTCCTTTGTCTTGAACTCAAGCGTCGGGATGGTGGCCGGCAAAAATAAGCCCATCAGCACTTTGGCGTTCGAGTGGCTGGAAGGGAATTTTAGTGTCATGCTCCCTTTAAAAATTTTCTAAGTCAAGCGTACGCTTAGGCCTAAGCCAAGACTAAGCCTAAGCCTATTCCTGAGCCTGAGCCTAAGCCTAGGCCAAGACTAAGCCCAGCCTAAGCCAAGCCTAAGCCTGAGCTTGAGCTTAAGCCAACGCGAAAAATCCTAGCTGACACGCGCTATTTGGCACGACAAAAATGCTCAGAATCACCTCCTCATCCTCAGCCCTCCGTGCCACAGGTCGGCGAGCAGTATTTGGCAGCTGAAATTTGGGATAGTAGAGAGAAAAATAAAGTATTTACATAATTAAGTACTAAACGTACCACGGGTGTGCCAAGAACTGCTTGTTGTTGACGATGACGGCCAGCGAGAGGCAGGTTTCGTGGCCCCACTGGCGCAGCTCGTAGGTGAGCAGCTACAAAAATTGGAGCTGAGAGAGAGATAGAGAGAAAGCGAGAGAGGGAGAGGGGAAGTGAGAGCCGAATACCTGTAGCGCAATCGCATCGTCCTGAGTGTAGATGTGGTCAAGCAGTTCAAGGGACAACACTCGGAATTCTCTGCAAAATGCACTGGATAGGAAAGCCTTGCCAGTCCCTTTAAAAGGAGTTTCATCCTTTCTCATCACTCTCTCTCTCACTCTTTCTCTATCTCTCTTGCTCTCTCTCACTCTGTCTCTCGCTCTTGACGAAAACCTACTCTGCATATTTCCGCAGCTCCTCGCAGATCTCCACCTCCAAGTAGTCCTCAGCTGCCTCCTTGGCCAGGCTCTTGTAAAGCCGTGAAGCCACCAGGGCCTGAAAAAGGGCTTAGGCTTAGCTTATGCTTAGGCTTGGGCTTAGCCTCAGGCTTCTGAACCTTACCTTGGCCAAGGCCTCCTCCCCGTGCTCCCACATGCACATGGCCATCTCCTGCCGCTTCGTGAGCACCGCCCAGAGGAGCAGCTCGGAAAACGGGTACCGGAACTCGTCGCCGGCCTTGTCGGAAGAGGCTCCGGTCGTGGATAGGTCTGAGGCGGAGCTTTAGCCTAAAAAACTTGGAAAATACCGTCGTCATCACCGAGAGGGTCCTTGGTTTCGAGGAGGTTGGGTGGACGCATGGGTTGAGGGCCGTTTGGTTGCTGAAAGAAAAAGTTTAGAGATCTAATAGAATATTTGCTAGCCTGCCCTTTCCTAAAGAATCTCTGCTAGCCTGCCCTTTCCTAAAGAATCTCTGCTAGCCTGCCCTTTCCTAAAGAATCTCTGCTAGCCTGCCCTTTCCCAAAGACTCTCTGCTCGCCTGCCCTTTCCTCAAGAACCTCTGCTAGCCTGCCATTTCCTAAATAATCTCTGCAAGCTGCCCATATTCCTCACATTATTCCGGAAAGCCGATCGCCACAAGATATGATTTGAGAGTGCTCGACTGCCGGACAGCGCCGACACCATCGTCTCAGAGAGCTGCTGCTCGGCGTTGGCGAGGGTCTAAAGTATACGATTTTAAAGCTTTACAGGAATCCAAAAGTGAAAAAATGATCATGTCGTGCCCTACAAGGCTAGGCTTTATGGCTACGGTACACTACTATGTACAACACGACACTTCCAATCGCCCACCATCGTTACCATACGCCCGGGGACACGGGGACGGCGTTTTTTCTAATTTTGGAAAGTCCGAGGAAATGGAGAGAGAACGAGGAGAGAGAGAACGAGAGAGAGAGAGAACAGGAGAACGAGAGAGAACGAGAGAGCGAAAGAGAGGGCGAAAGAGAGAGAGGGAGAGAGAGAGAGGGGAGAGAGATCGAGGGACAGAACAAGAGAACGAGAGAGTGAAAGAGGGAGCGAGAGAGAGAGGGAGAGAGCGAACCTTACCGGAATCTGCAAAACCGCTTCCGTCGGCTGCCGGCTAAGGATCGTACTCGCGTTCCGCGACTTTCCCATGTTCTTCTGACTAGCCGCCAAGTCCTAGAAAATTTTTTAAGCATAAAATAGCGTGGGCTACAGTATGACAGTCTCTTAAAAATACAGTACCTTGGCCTCGTGCAAAAAACCTACCCTCCGTTTCTGCGCGTAGATCTGGTACTTCTTCAGGAAGCTGCTAGACGTGTAGCTGGAGCGGTAGGCATTGCCCATCAGCTTCTCGATGACCATCCCGATGGCGGGGAGTCTGAAAAAATGTCTCTTTCTCTCTCTCTATCTCTGTCTCTCTCTCTCTCTCTCTCTCTCTCTCTCTTTCTCTCTAGTCCAGAAAAACGCACTCAAAGTGGTAATTCTTCTTGCGCAGCTTGACGACGTCGCGCACGATGTAGTAAAGCGTATTTGCGGGGCCTTTGTCCTGAATATGATCAGATAGAGAAAAATCAAAAATTACGATTTTTTTGACCAAAGTAACCCTCAAAAACGCTACCGTATTGTAAAGCTCCTCCAACCGGCCCATATCCAAAAATTTGTGCATGCTGACGCCATTCTGGATGAGGAGACGAACGAAATCGACTCGATCGTAGGTCAACGCCTCCATCATGGCGTTGTGCAGGGCCTGCTGGGTCCAGGCCTGAAAAAACTGTGGTTTTAAAGGGGCTAGGCTTTTTAATAACGATTTTCGCTCTTCCTCTCTCTCGTTCTCGCTCTCTCTCTCTCTCCCTCTCTCTCTCTCTCTGTCTTTCTCTCCCTGTCGTTCTCCCTCCCTCTCTATCTCTCTCACGGTCTCTCTTTCTATCTCTCTGTCTTTCTCTATATCCTCTCTCGCTTGCTCTCTCTCTCTCTCCCGTTTACTCGATCTCAACCCTCACATGCTGCTGCTCCACGCCAAAGATGTCACTTTTAGCGATGTCCACACGATTCCAGGCAAGCGCCAGGGCGAGCTGGTCGGGCCCGGATAAGTTCTGCCCCTTCAGAAGGGCCGTCAGGATGGCGTAGTCGACGTCGTGCTTCCCTTGCTTCTCCCCGAGGCGGAATACCTGCAAAAAATTTGACCTAGTCCATGAATTCCCTACCGTAATCAGATCCTTCTGCTGCGCGCAGATGCTCAACTCGCGGAGCACCTTCTCGGCCGCTTGCTCGTCGAAGGCGAAGGTGCGCTGGATGAGGGATAGGAGCTGGAGACGAACATGTTCGGCAAATTTGCTGGAAATTTGGCTTCAATGGGGAGGAGAGAGAGAGCACGAGAGAGAGAGAGAGAGGGAAATCGGTATCCCATAATTCCTTACCCATCATCGCCAATGTGTAGATGAGCAAAGGCGAGCAGGTCGGCGGCTCGTCCAGAACCGTCGCAAATCACGACAGGGACGCGTGGAACACTACAAAATACAGCAAATTACAGTATCCTTTAGCTACAGTAAGCTACTAGCTAAAAATCCGGCAGAAAAAGAAGAAAACCAACTTTGTAATGTAGTCCATCACTGTACGGACCGTACACGCGCCGCCCTCGAGGACGACAGACACCACGGGCACCGAGCGCTGCTCGAAAATCTTGCGCTTCTGCGCGATGTACATCTCCAGGCGGCGTCGTAGCATGACGTCCGCACCGAAGCGGTTGACGGTGCCTGGAAGAGGGATTTCTGCCTGTCTGCCTCTCTCTCGTTTTCTCTCGCGCGCTCTCTCTCTCTCGCTCTCTCTCTCTCTCTCTCTCTCTCTCTGTCGCTCTATCGTTTTCTCGCTCTCTCTCTTTCCCGCTCTCTCTCTCTCTCTCTCTCTTTCACTCTCCCGCTCTCTCGCGCTCTCTCGTTCTCTCGCTCTCTTTCGCACTCTCTACTCTCTCTGTCTGTCTCTCTTTCTCTCTCTCTCCCTACCGTTGTCAACCAGCAAAAAATACGAGTGCCGATTGTTCAGCACCGACGTCCGGCTGCGCGCGTGGAAGGAGTGCGGATGGTAGGGCACTTCTTTATCCTGAAACGAACAGCATCATCCGACTTTAAAGGAATTCCCAATGCAAACCCACACCCTTTGAGCTTTACAAAAACGGTTACTATAGCCGAACTTGGCTCAAGGCCAAAAATCTATTGAACCAACTCACCAATCCCAAAAAGTCCTCCCGCTTCTTCAGCGTGCCCCAGGAAGTGATCCCGATGCAGACGATTTTTGAGCGGGAGCTCGAGCCGGAGCCTTCGAGAGCAGCCGCGACGTGCCGCACGACGCCCGTGTCGACGCCGTTGGTGATGATCCAGGCACCGGTGGTCTTGGCGGCTTTTAGCAGGCCCTTCCGGAAGACGCGCGAGAGTTTTGGTTGCAGGCTAAAAGCAGGATTGTTAAGGAGAGGCAGGCTAGCAGAGATTCTTTAGGAAGGCAGGGTAGCAGAGATTCTTTAGGAAAGGGCAGGCTAGCAGAGATTCTTTTGGAAAATCACTCAAAGAACGCACTCAAAATTCGACGTCCCCCCATTCACAGTAATGATCAGCTTCGGCGGCTGGATATCCCAGATCCGGTCCAGCATCGCCATCACGTCCGCCGGGTCCGCGTCGAACCCGAGCCGCAGGTATTGAGCACGATACGGGTGAGCGGCACCTAGATGAGGCTTTTAAAGGGACAGCGACACCAACCTTGGAACTCGATCTGTCCGTAGGCGTCCGTCGGCAGGGCCAGCGCGTGCTTCCGGATGCTCCAGCGCTCGTTGACGCGTTTCGGTCGCTTTTCCGGTTCCGGTTCTGGCTTGAGGAACTGAAAAAGGGTAATTTGATGGCGCTGTCAATAAATTCCTAAAGACTCTCTGCTAGCCTGCCCTACCTCTCTGTCTGCTCTCTCCGTATCCTCCTCTCCCTCCTCCTTCAACGCGTCGGCGGCCCTGAACAGCTTCTGCGCCTCTTGGCTCTGGAATGGCGGGGGGTACTCCAGAAATTTGGTCATCAGGTTGGTTAGGTCGTGGTGAACGGCTCGCTGACGTCCGCAGCCGCATCTGGAAATTGAGTTGAAAAGTGGAAGAGAGAGAGAGAGAGACAGAGAGCGAGAGAGAGAGAGAGCGACGCAGCCAACTCACTTCTCCGGGTCCTTGTTCGTCGGGATGAACTTGGCGCACTCACGTCGATGGAACGTCGCCTGGATCCATTCCCGTTTCTTGATTTCCTAAAACCAAAAGAGCGTGAAATTGAGCAACAACCCCGAGCTCACAATGTCCGGTTGGCTCCAGTCGAGCTCGTCGAGCCCTGCGGCTCCCGGGGTCACCTTCGAGTTGGTGGTGGGCTCAAGGGGGTGCTGGCCGACATCCGTCGGCTTCCGCATCAGGTTCTGAAATTCCTCAATTGCAACTGCTAGCTGCCCTGGAGCTAACGTTCCTAAAGAATCGTTGCTAGCCTACCCTTTCCTAAAGAATCTCTGCTAGCCTGCCCCATAACTTTTTTCGGGGAAGCTCACCGCATCATGCGGCTTCTTCGCGTTGGCCCGGGCGGCCGTATCAGCCGTCATGTCGCACATCTCCTTCCAGTCCGTCGTGTGCACATTTTCCGGCGCCGTCGTCGTCCCCCATCGGCTCGACAGTACCCCGCCGCGCCAATGTGAGCCATTCCCTAGAAAGTGGGGGATTTTTGGGCTTAGGCTTAGGCTTAGGCTTAGATTTAGGCTTTGGCTTAGGTTAGGCTTAGGCTTAGGCTTAGGCTTAGGCTTAGGCTTAGATTTAGGCTTAGGCTTAGGCTTAGGCTTAGGCTTAGGCTTAGGCTTAAGCTTATGCTTAGATTTAGGCTTAGGCTTAGGCTTAGGCTTAGGCTTAGGCTTAGGCCTAAGCTTAGGCTTAGGCTTAGGCCTAGGCTTAGGCTTAGGCTTAAGCTTAGGCTTAGGCTTAGGCTTAGGCTTAGCTTACAGCTTAGCACAAGTTTTTCCCTAAGCTTTTTTTCAGTTTTCAGATCGACACAAAAATCCGACAGACAAACGACGCCCGGAAGGAGGACAGAGAGAGCGGGCAAGTGAGCGCGAGAGAGTTAGCGAGAGATAGAGAGAGAGAGGGAGAAAGATAAAGAGAGGGAGAGAGAAGGAGAGAAGCAGAGGCTGTGCAAAGGATCGCCTACCTTTTGGCATTCACTTTCAAAGCGGAAGTGGTTCCCAAAATTCGCAATTCCCAAAAGTAATCACCGCCAAAATGAGAAATCAATCTCGCCAGCTGAGGTGTGCTGATCCTTTTAAAAGGAGCGGGACCGGTGAGAAATTGGGATTCGGGGCGAGAGAAAGAGAGAGGGAGAGAGAGAGGGCGCGCAAGAGAGCGAGCGAGCGAGAGAGAGATACAAAGTCCGAGAAAGAAAAACAGCCCCATCTGGACATTGATAATGACCGCTACGCGTGTTTTCTTGTGCTTTTTTGACTCCGGCCCGGTCCTGAACCGGTTTTTCCCCGGTGGCCTTCATTTTTGACTTCTCGAGGCCCGGATTTCCGACCTGGGTGCAAAATTCAAAAACTCAGAGTGATGGTATCCAATTCGGTAGCCTAATTTGCATACCGGCCGCATTTTTGAGGTCCGGATCCGAGGTGGACCTGAAGATAGCCGGGGTCATTCGGGAGGCATGTAACTGGGGGCGGACTGGAAATCGGGGAAATTGTGGAAATATCGAAGACATTACGTAAAAGTGAGAAAGAGAGAGAGAGAGAGCGAGAGAGAGAGAGAGAGAGAGAGAGAGAGAGAGAGAGAAAGAGAGAGAGAGGGCGAGAGAGAGGAGGGAGAGAGAGCGAGAGAGAGAGAGAAAGAGAACGGGATCGAGAGCGAGAGCCAGGGAGAAAGAGAGAAAGACGAGAGAGAGAGCGAGAGAGAGAGGGCAGAGAGAGGAGAGAGCGAGAGAGATAATGAGAGAATGAGAGAGCGAGAGACATAATGGGAGAATGAGAGAGAGAGAAAGCAGTAAAGAAAACATTCCGGATACGGTGGTTCATAAATCACCGAATCGGGAAAACTCAGAAGGTCAAAACGGGGGACCAAAAAGGTGCGGAAATTTCCAGCTACAGTAAACCATAAATAAGATAGAAAGACGGAGAGAGAGAGAGAGAGAGAGAGAGAGAGAAAGAGATAGAGAAAGAAAGAAGGAGGGGGACAGAGAGAAAGGTAGCCAAATCGAGAGAAATGCAGACGATCACGGGGTCAAAAAAGTCCAAAAAAGTCGCCCAGACCCAACCACCAAGCGTTCAGATCGAAGCTGACAGAGTCGATTTCCCCAGATTCCCACGAAATAGCGATGATCCATCACGTCTTGGGTGGGGGCGGTTAACGAGGCGGCAGATGAGCTCAAATATTGCGGAGAGCACGAGGGGTCGGGGGGGGGAAGCCCGGGAAAGCAAGGATTTGTGCCCAATCTATCATTTCATCTTTCAGATCTCGATTTTCAATTTTTTTCTTGATTTTTTTTTGGCGATTCCAGGGTTCGGGATCGTTTGCCGAACTTTTAAAGGTTTGATGTACGGCGATGTATTGAAAAGTACCTTTTCCTAAAGAATCTCTGCTCGCCTGCCCCTAAAGAATCTCTGCTAGCCTGCCCTTTCCTAAAGAATCTCTCCTAGCTCGCCAAAAATAACACAAAAATTCTGGGATCAAATAGAAGCAAATGACGAGCACTTCAAGACGTTCAACGTGAGAATTCTTCTGAACAAATGGCGCCATTATTGCGATTTTCCACGAGCGGAAGTAGGCTAGTTTTGACGCTCGGCCTGACCGACTAAAAGGGCCACTTCCGGGCCACCACCCAAATTCGCCCAAAAGAATCGCCGCTTTTTCTGGGCTTTTGAACCCGGAAAAAAGTTTTGAATTGCTGGGAATTGGCCGGAAATGAAGTGAGACAAGATTGGGTTCAGGTGTCGTATAGAAAACGTTGTCTTAGGGGTGGAAGTTTCAAAGATCAAGATTTCTAAGGGAGGAAATAGGCTAGCATAGATAAATTAGGAAAGGGCGAGCTAACAGATAGCAGAGATTCTTTGGGAAAGGGCAGGCTAGCAAAGGTCTTTAGGGAGGGGCAAGCTAGCAGAGATTCCTTAGAAAGGGCGATCTAGCAGAGATTCTTTAGGAAAGGGCAGGCTAGCAGAGATTCTTTAGGAAAGGGCAGGCTGGCAGTGATTCTTTAGGAAAGAGCAGGCTAGCAGAGATTTTTTAAGAAAGGGCAGGCTAGCAGTGGTCCTTTGGGGAAGGGCAAGTTAGCAGAGATTCCTAAGGGAGGGGCAAACTAGCAGAGATTCTTTAGGAAAGGGGAAGCTGCAGTGATTCTTTAGGAATTCCAAACCTAACCCTATGCCAAAACACATAAAATCCGGAGATACATTTCACAAACCGCGATGCAAATATTTAACCCCCGATACCATACGCCAACAATAGTACAGGGGACGTCAATTGACACAGCTTGTATTTTTGAGGCTATTTTTCGGCCCCCCCTGCGCGTGTTTATGCCATTTTTGTCGGGGGTTTTTCTGGAAGGTTTCTGGGGGGTGAAGCCGTAGTTTTGATGGGGTCGGGGATCTTTAGAAAGCGTTCCAAAAAGCAGGCAGTAAGATGTGGTCTTCAAAACGTTAAAAAATGGTTTAAACTGAGCTTAAATAAGTTTTAAGGGCTTGCTGAAGAGGGAAATCAAAAACTAGAGACTTCGCTGATTTTTTTGAACCGCGTAGAATTTTTGTCAGGAGTTGAGAATGGTTAAAGAGTCTGGAACCACTAAGAGCTTCACGAAACATGACACGCAACCCGAAAAAGCGCTGAAAAATGTAGGAGGACGCAATATATGAGAAATTTGTGACTTCCTAGTCCCTTTAAAATATTGTTGATTTGTATCGCCTTGCCTGACGGCAAAAATTTAGCTAAATATTGCCTCCACTCGACTTTTAAAACCGGAATTCTTATGCCAAAGAGAAATGGCATACTAGCAAAGATTCCTTAGGAAAGGGCAGGCTAGCAAAGGCGGAAGGAAAGGAAGAAAGGGAAGGCAGAAGAGACAGGAAAGGGCAGCAGCAGAAAGGGGCAAGCGGAAAGGGCGGCGGGAGGCAGAGACGGAGGGGAGGAGGGCGGAAGGGCGGCGGCTTGGAGGGGGCAGAGGGCTTCTTTGGGAAACGGCAAGCTAGCAGAGATTCTTTAGGAAAGGGCCCGCTAGCAGAGATTCTTTAAGCAATCCTGAAACCCCAAAACAGCAACAAATCAGCGATGCTTTAGGAAGAAACAGGCGCGCGCAAGTTGGGCCCAATTCGCGTCCAGGGGCGCCTGGCGGAATCGCGCCGCGCAAATCGGAATCGCAAACAGCGGAACATCTTTGGACAGTCGAGGGTGGACAGAGGAATGAAGCGGAATTGAGGGGTATTTTCCCCTGGGGGGGGTGGAAGACCCTGATTTTTGTTGTTTTGGTGGGGAATTGGAACCGGAACGCATAGGAAATGCGGGTTTCCAAAGAGAGCCGCCTTCAAAGACCAGCCGTAGCCTGCCTCCTAAGACCGCGCCGCCTTCTAAAGAATCTCTGCTAACCTGCCCTTCCTAAAGAATCTCTGCTAGCCTGCCATTTCCTAAAAAATCTCTGCTAGCCTGCCTTTTCCTAAAGAATCTCTGCTAGCCTGCCCTTTCCTAAAGAATCTCTGCTAGCCTGCCTTTTCCTAAAGAATCTCTGCTAGCCTGCCTTTTCCTAAAGAATCTCTGCTAGCCTGCCATTTCCTAAAGAATCTCTGCTAGCCTGCCTTTTCCTAAAGAATCTCTGCTAGTCTGCCATTTCCTAAAGAATCTCAGCTAGCCTGCCTCTCTAAAACAATTAGGCAAAAGCTCCAAAATTCTCTCAAAACGAGGCGTCAAAAACGTTTCAAAGAGTGGCGTTGGGGCTTAAGGTGTTTGTTGTTGTGACGGAGAGTCGCGGTGTAGCCTGAGGGCCCAAAACAGCCGCAGAGAGGACCCCAATAATTTGCTCTTTTGTTCGGGTGGCTCATGAGGGTAATTTGACCCTCTTGACAAGCCGCAAAATGCTGTGAACCGGGTCGGCAAACATCGGTTTCGTCGAAATTATCCATGTCTTGAGTAAGAGAGAGTGAGAGAGAGACAGGGAGAGTGAGACAGAGAGAGAGAGAGAGAGAGAGAATGCGCTCGGCCAAACATCGAAGGGGCGTGGCCAGATTTGCCTTCAATGATCCTTTAAAGGGGCTTGGACAGCGGAGATTCCGGAGTTTGGCATCAAAATTGAAACATGAAAGATCGCGGACTCAAAATGATCGGTGAGTGGGCGGATAGTTCAAGAAAATTGAGCAATGTTGTGTGAGAAGGGGAGAGAGGGAGAAAGAGTGAGAGACAGAGA